CCATCCACACTCACGCCTCCACCACCCACTCACCCACCCACTCACCCCTACACGTACTTGCACCGCAGGCCGACGACGAGGTGCGGGCGGTGGTGCACGATGTCTATGTGTCTGGCAAGAGCGCGCGGCACGGGGAGGCGGGGGGCGTGGACGGCAGCGTGGATGTGGATGACTACATGACCAGCCAGGACCTGAAGGACCAGTGAGGGGGAGGAGGCAGGGGGCGGGACCGCAAGGACCAGCGAGGGGGTGGAGTACCGCAAGGACCACCTGCGAGGCCATGCCAGCGGAGCCCCTGGTGTAGAAACAAGGAAAGAACAGGATAGTGATGCCTGCCCCCTCGGGTGCCCAGTTGAAGGGAAGGGAGGGTGTCTTGCCGTGAGCGGCTCTCGCTCCACCTCTGTGCCAGGCGGAGCGGCCGCTTGGCCCCACCTGCCCACCGCACGTCTGTCTTGTATCGCTCTGCCTGCCCGCCCCCGTTGGTTTCTGCTCTGGCGCCGTGGCGCACGCGCTGCCTGATGGAGGCAGCGCGGTGCTGAGCGCCCTGAACCGTTGCATTCGCCGCATGGCATGTTTGCTACACCGCTCAACACCCCATTTTGCTGCTCCCCTCGTCAGAAATGCTGTATTGTGCCTTGTTGACCCGTGACCATTCCGCCGTAGCACAATACCAGCAATCTGCTGCCCTTGCTGTGTTCTATTGTAATCGAGCACGGGACTTCCAGGTTAAGGGTGTGCACGCATTTCATTTTGTGGGGGTCAAATGCACATGTGTGTGGGGAGGCGCACGCTGGCACTGCAACGAGAAGCAAGGGATGAACAGGCAGGGCCAAGCAGGGTTGGCGGCCCGAGGCTGCGGGGCGGCAGCCAGGGCAGGACGGCTGGTAGCGAGGTATTCGTGAGGTTGGTCGGGGGCAGAGCAGACGGCAGAGCCCGAAAACAGCAATGCAGCAGAGGGTGGTAGCAGGCGGTAGGTAGGGGCGGGGTTCTGGCATCATGCGAGCAAGCAGAAGGGGAGCGGGAGCATTGTTCTTTAGGCGGCGGCGGCCTAGGGCCTGCTGGCACGCAAGCCGCCCATCACCAGGGCAGCCGCGCCGCAGGCGGTCAGGGCCGCTGCGCCCAGAGCCAGACCGACGGTGACGACCGGGGGCAGGCTGTCGCACCAGGAGGGGTCAAGGTCGCCTGGGCTGCAGCCAGCCCCGGCGGCCGGCTTGGCCGGTGGAGATGGCAGTGGGGGTGGTGAGGTGGCAGGTGCATCAACGCCCGGTGGGCCGCCAACGCGTGCAGCAGCCTGCTCGGGGCCCGGCGCAGCAGCGGACTGCCGCTGCGGCAGCGGCTGCTGGTGAGGCAGCGAGCCGGCCGACAGCCGCTCGGCCAGCGCGGCGAGGCGCGGCGCGAGCGTCTCGGGCAGGCGGCGCGGCGCGGCGCTGTTGCCGCGCTCGGCGCGCTCAGCGCGCTCAGCGTGCTCAGCGCAGCGCGGTGCGCGCCGAGGTGTCGACGAGCCGCGACAGCAGGTTGCTGCGAAAGGCGGTTTGGTCCTTGAAGTCAGAGGGCACTGCAGGGAGGGCAGGCAGGCGGGCGGGGCAGGGGGCAGGCTGGAGGCAGGCTGGAGGCACTTTGGAGGCAGGCT